GTGTATGATAAAACATTACAATTTAAAATGCTAGTGCCAACTCACTCAATTTTCATAATTAATAGCATCTCTAATTGAAGCAGTTTATCTACGATAAAAATAACTCACTTCCTTTTTATTAGTTCATAATAAATTTTGTTTGCTGAAAAACAATTCTCATTGAAATAAGCGAACTAATTAATAAAGTTATTTATCGAATAATTTCATACTTTCAATACTTCTTACAATATCTTTCAAATGTATTTGCATAAAATAACATAGCAATTTTTATAGCGAAATTGGCTTATAATTATATACACATTGATAATATTTATCGCTAGCCTTAATTCTTGATCTGGAGTAAAATTCGTATCTAATTTTTTGCGGGTTAGTATTTTTATAGAGATAACAATTTCAAATGCTTATTATTAAATTAAAAAATTCAGGTTTTTTGAATTCTTAAATATTAATGTACTTATAAAATTATATTTATTGAAGTTTAATTATCCTTTGAAATAGATTAACTTTAGTATTACACTTTTGCAGTTTTGGGATTCAGGTTGTAAATTTTCTTGTGATTATTTAATATATTATATTCAGATTAGTATTAAAAGAATTGTAATAACTGTTGTTAAGATAATGTATTAATTTTTAAAATTCTTTTATTTAGACAAAAAATAATCTTGTTAACTTTTATAAATATACCTTTTGAGTATACAGGCAATTAATTCTAATAATCATATAGTCATGTATACACTAATTAATTGTTATTTGCCTCATGTTTTTGATTATATTAAAGAAATGCTTGAAATTACGCTTAAGTTACAGAATAAGAGTTGCAGCCAGAATTGGATTATAAAAAGATTAACTAGATTATTTCTTTATTTTTTAAATTCTTGTTATAACAATACATACAAATAAGGGATGAGTTGTCAAATTGAACTGAGGTATTTATGAATATGGTTTTTCATTTGTTTTAAATTGAATCATTCAATTTTTAGATAAAATACGTTTTAGTATATTAGCAATTACAATTAATTTTAAGTTATGGGTTTATGCTAATCTTGAGCTTTATTATTATAGTCTTTCTTCTAAATATACTCATTTCCTTTTAGCTTAGCCAGAAACTTATTTGTAATAAAAAATGTCAACTATTTTAAGAGATTTAACAATCAGAATTGCCCAGTTAATTGTGAATCATCAATTAAAAGTATTATACTTATTAAACTTTAATATCTCTGGCCTATTCTATTTTAAGGTCTGATTATCCTTACTTTCAAAATTATTCATTAAAACGAAATCACTACAATCATTTTTGGGATATTATTAGAAACAATAATTTAATTTTCAAATGAGATGACCAATCTCACTTTTTTAAAATACAAATTATATTACTATAATATATTATTAAGATATCTCTAAATGCAAACTTTCTTATTCATATTTTAACATTATCACATATGAGATAGTTAAAATGGTATTTTTAATAATTCATATATCACACAGGTTCATTTTTGGCAGCATTGTTTATAATAATTTTATTAGTTTAAATTATTCTAGATACTGTAATAGAACAATTTAAGTAAAATACTAAGTAAAAAATATATGGATAGCTTACATGAAAGAAACATTACATTTTTTCTCAAATTTTATTTAGGTTGAGAACAGTAACAATAACAATATAATTCAAATTAGTAAAGATTTTTATTTGATATTAAAGATATAAAATCACTTAATTTTTCATTCTTACATTTATTAAGATATCAAAATACTTATTGATTGTGATGCTCTAATCTCTTAAAATAAATATGAGGATTATATATTTTTCTTATAGACAAATACATGCTTATTTTTTAACTTAAGATTTTAAAATTATTTAAATATATTATATTTTATAATTAAAATTATGATGGATTATAGATTGGATATTTTATTTTGATAATATTTTAGCTTATTAACAGGATTATTAAAGTCAAATTTCATTATAAATAATATTAGGCCTTACTTCATAGAAATAAATTAATTATTCTTTTATCTTTTTCTGTTCTAAAAATTACTAATCTACAAAAAATAAAATGAAAATTAATTTTTAATTTACTTTAATATTTATAATATTTTTTATTTATATTGTATTTTTAGTTTATGGCAAACTTTCCTTTTAACTTTGTCCTTTTGGAAAATTTCAGCTTTCAAATTGAAAATTCAAGTGTTACTTTAACAGAATAACTTTTGAAATGCTGATTAGAATATTTTGAGAGATACAGTCATTAAACTTTTAAAGCCTTTTTAAAATAATTAGGCTTAATTATTTCTTTAAATTGAAAATAGTTTCTAAAATATGAAGAATTAATTCTGAACACTTCATGAATAATCT